GGTGCCGTCGCCGGAGGAGGAGGTGGGGTCGCCAGTCTCGCCCGCGTCGAGCAGGGTGCGGGCGGTAGATGAGGCGGCGACGGCGGCGGTGGCGAATGGGGACGGTGGTGGTGAGCGAGGGATGGAGGGCCGCGAGTCGTCGGCTGGGAGCGGGCGGTTGTCGTGGGCGATGTTTCACGAGGTGTTGATTGCGTGAGAGGGAGCGAGGGCACGTTGGTTGGCTGGGGTGTTTACTGGGAAGGGCGATGAATTTGGTTTGGCTTGTTTGGTTCTGTTCCCAGTTTTGCAGTATCTCCCTACTAGTCGAAAACGATGATAAAAAAAAAAGTGTACAGTTCCGTCGAGCAGCGTTTAGGGGGTAGAGCGGAGAATCGAATGGAAAACCGGCATGGTTCCGCCACAAATATTCGTTCACTCTTTCCCTGTGACAAGTTGCTGGTCATTGCGTTGCGCAAATGTCCATCAGGTAAACGAAGCCGATCCAGCCAATACCACAAACGGTACCCGATCGGATCGTCGGGGCCAGGAACACCGATCCGGCTCCTCTGCTTGATGTCTAGAAGCAGTTGGGGGAGTGGGGGTGGGCGCTATTTCTTTCCTGCACTGACCCAACTGGCCCGACTCTATTACCTCCCTCCCCCCCCGCCTCAACCCGGGGCAGAGAATACCTCCAGGCGCGCGCCAAGCAGAGCTTCACATGGGACGACCTCAAGAACCTGAAGGCGCAAAAGGAGGAGCTGCAGGGCGGCGCGTTTTCCGAAAAGGCCATGAAAGAGGTAAAAAGAGACTCCTCGTTGCGATGAGTTTACTCGGATCGCAACGCCCATCCTAACTCCCCCCGATCGCCTTTCGTGGACACCCCCCAGTACCGCAAACAACTTGACGACGAGCGGACGGAGAAGCTAAAGAGCAGCAGCGGGAAGAGGAAGAAGAAGGAGAAGAAGAAGAAGGACAAGAAGAGCAAGGGGAAGAAGAAGGACAAGAAGCGAAATCGCGACAGCGATAACAGCGATTCAGATTCGGACGACGGATCGGAGAGCGAGCGCGGTCGAAGGAGAAGTGCGGAGGAGAAGCAGAGGAGCGCGTCAAAGAGTCCGGTGAGTGTGGGTGGCCGATGGGGCTTTTGGGGGCGGGGTTGTGGATCTGACGCGGTTCTCTTTCGAATAGCACAAACGACGGAAACGTGACGACGACGAAGCCGACGAGCCACGAACCGCTGCTGTCGAGGACGACGACGCGAAGCGCGCGTCTCGCTCTCGCTCGCCTCGCCGCTCCCGCGACGCCTCCCGCGACCGCGCTGCAACAACAACAAGCAAAGACGACCTGCACCGCCGTCGCTCCCCTTCGCCCCCGCGTCGCCGCTCCCGCACCCGCACCCGCTCTCGCAGCAGGTCGCCACACCGCGGCAGTCGCCGAACCCGAACCAGGTCCCGATCCCGATCCCGCAGCCCGCGCCGCCGCACCCGCAGCCGAAGCAGGTCCCGCGACGGGAGCCGAAGCAGACGACACCGCACCCGCAGCCGGTCCCGCAGCCGCCGACGACACCGCACCCGCAGCCCGATCGCGCGCCACCGCGGCGACGACCACTACTCGCCGCCGCCGCGGCGACGAAGCCGCGGGCGCACCAGGTCGCGGAGTCGGCGCGGAGACCACCGGGGAGGCGGGGAGCGCAGCCGCAGCCGGAGTCGGGGCGGGAGGAGAGAGAGGAGTGTGGAGAGGAGGAGGAGCGGGAGCGGAGGGGGTGGTGAGCGGGGGCAGCGGGGCGGGGAGGGGAGTCGCAGTCGGAGCCGCGGAGGGGGCAGAAGCCGCGACCGCGAGCGCGGGGGGAGTCCGGGACGCGATGAGGTGCGTGTGGACGTGCCGGGGGATGAGGGTAAGGGCGAGGCGGTGGATGTGAAAGTTGCAGGTGTGGTGGATGGGAACGCGGCGGGTGATGTGGTGGGATTGGGTGAAAGGGAAGGTGAACCGGGAGAAGTGCCGGTTGACTCCAAGGGAGATTCTGGGAAAGCGGTGGAGGAGGACACAGCGTCGAAGCCAAGTGAGGCTGTCGAGCCAAAGGCGGCTTCGGCGGCCGATGAGGTTGAGGAGGGTAACGGCACCAATGCCTAAGTACATAAAAAGAAAACCGAAGTCGCAATAAAATTGCAGTGGGCCAGGCATGTTTTTATAACCATTTTAAAAGTGGGCCTCAATTCCGTCCGCCCTCCTGTGCGCCCTCCTTCCTTAACCTTTCCAGAACGTGGGAAGCTGCCGAGCGAAAACAGAAAAAGTGGTTAACAATCGCGAATGCCTTACGCGCCGGGTCGAATCATTTTCACCTGGTCTCCGGGGGTAAAGATCCTCTCGACGCCGTCCTTGGTGATCACCGCCAGCCGAATGACACCGCCCGATGAACCGTCCCTCGACATGGCCAGCGAAATTGCTAAAATACAGGCTTTCAGTCGAAACTACACGCGCGCAAAGCACGCGCTCCCACCCCTCCCTGCTCACTCACCATTCTTTGTAAACGCAACCGCCTCCTCCCTCCCCATCCCCTCCTTATACTGCGCGTCGCAGTACCCGTAAATATACGTCGACCCGCTCCCGCCGATCGCAAACGGCTGCCGGTGCAGCGACCCGCCCAGCGGGATCGACCACACCGACGGTCCGTCGTGCTTGTCCCACCCGCCCACGATGATCCCGGCGGACAGTTGGTCTTTGTTGCTGTAGCAGAGCTCTTGGAACATGGACGCGGCGGTGTGGACCCGGGGGGGTTCGCCTTCGGTGACGCTAGGTGCGGGGGGGCAAGGGGGAAGCGGGGTTAGAGGGAGGGAAGAGCGGGAGGGAAAAGGGGGGAAAGTGGGCGGTACCCGAATAGCTGGAGGTAGTACTGCACGATGTCCGCGACGGCCTGCGTGTCTGCCGCGCTGCCGCTGCGGCAGCAGAAGATGCGGTCGTGCACCGGGGTCAGCTTGTCCGTGACGCGGTTTGCTGAACGTGGGGGTCGTTCGGTTGGGGGTGAGCAAGAAAAGGAATAAAAGACAGGGGGCGCGAGTTCATTTTTACCAATGTACGATCCGGTGGTGGTGCGCGAGTCGGCGCCGACGATGACGCCGTCTTTGTATTGCACCGCCATGATGGTGGTCTGAGGGAGGGAGGGGGGACCGCCGCATTGTGGCGAAGCAAACGTGAAGGTTAGATCTGGCAAGCAAACAGCGGATTTGGGAGCGCGGATGACGCAATTGACAGAGGGACAGATGAGGGAAAGAACACGAGTAGAGATCGGAACAATGTGATGGGGGATGGCCCGCGCGCGCGCGACGCGGCTCTCGACTCGACTCGACGACAGGGAACTCACCCCAAGATCGACCTCCCCAGGCTTCAGCCGCGCGGCCATTGTTACGTGGTAAGGGTAGTGGTCGTTCTGATTTCGCAAAAAAGAGAGAAGAAAAAAAAAAAAAAAAAAAAAAAAAAAACTTTAAAGCCAACGAGTGCCAGCTTGCCATCCCTGGTCGTCCGTAGAAGTTGAAGGGTATCAAACAAACAAACAAGACGTCAACCGTACCTTGAATAGTCGCATTCACCACTCTGCAAGAGCTGTGGTGGGGATTGGACCCCATGTTCTGCGGTGGCGTCTTGCCATTGGACTACCCTGGACTAGTTATTCAAATGATGGAAATCGGAGTTCAACCATTCGTCCGGGGATGCTTTTCCGTGCATGTTAATTTGAAATGCGACGGTTTGTGCAAGCAAAGGTTTTGTATCAACGGCACAGCCGCTTCACGCTCTTGAGGCGGGACGAGGGCCGTGAGCCGGGCGAGACAAAGAGGAAGAGGAGAGCTAGCTCCCGCCAAGCAGCGAGAGTGGCGATGAAGGAAATACATCAAGATCGTGCGACGCAGATCGTACCTCACACAGCAAGTGTGCAGCCTTCCTTTCACCAAATGACTGCGCCTCATTTTGGGACTGCGCCACTTTACTTTCAATTACAAATTTGGCTGCAAGAGAAAGCAGGTCCCGGGTAGTCTAATGGTAGGACGCCACCAAAACTTGGGTTCGATTCCCAACGTACCCGTTTGGGTGTGTTGCTTAGTGGGTAAAGCCTGGTGGAGATCGGAGTTCAATCCTTCGTCCGGGGATCTTTTTTCGGGCTTTTGCAGATTTAACTTTAGTGACTGGGCTCCTTGGGGTTCTGTCAACAGATTGCTGTTCCTTAAAAGAGCCTGTGCAGAGAAGGAACATCGCGATCTGCATGCACGCAAGTCGTCATTGGACGCTGGTGACTCGGTGAAATGCTCAGACAGTGGGCGCGTCCTGATGGAGGTAACTTGACGTTGGTTCAACTCCTAGTCATTGTGAGTATTATGAGTTGTAGGCGTTAATGGCGGAAATCGGAGATCAATCCTTCGCCCGGGGATGAGCGTCACTATTTCTGCCTCTCTGCTCCGCGAAAGCCACCGTGGCGAAAGAAGTATTGGCAACAAGTTTTTCGTCCTCGCTTGACCCTAACCTTTGAAACTTGAGATAACGTTTGAAAACGATCAATAGTCGAATTTTTTTTGGCGGAATTTTAGCCAGTCCCGGGTCGTCTAATGGCAAGACGCCACCTTAGAACGCGTGGGTTCGAATCCCACCAAAGCCCTCGGGCTTTGTTGCGTAGTGGTTAACGCGATCGTCCTCCAGACGATTATTCGATTGGTGGAAATCGGAGTTCAATCCTTCGTCCGGGGATGTCCTTTATACATCTGTATCGATTGGAGGGTGCGGTGGTTTGTGCACCGTGAGAAGATTCGATAAATATCTTCTGCGCTGTCGTTTCAAGTACGAGGGCGGGCCTTTGGGTCCGGGATGCAATCATGAGACGAAGAGGAAGAAAAAGAAGTAATTATTTGCTGGATGCGGGGTGCCTTCAGAAGGAAATGCCATCGCTGACAGATTGCCAAGACCGCGCACGTCGTGCAGCCTGATTAAATGACTGCGCTTTAATCCGTCAAATTAAAACTTTGGTAGGAATAAACCTGCCCTGGGTAGTCTAATGGTAGGACGCCACCAATACTCGGGTTCGATTCCCGTCGTACCCGTTTGGGTGTGTTGCTTAGTGGCTAAAGCCTGGTGGAGATCGGAGTTCAATCCTTCGTCCGGGGGCGGTTTCTGGTCTCGATTTTGACGCTTTTACTGCCGAGGGGTATCTCCTGGAGTTCTGTCCACCGCTTTCTTTTTTATGAAACAACCCCTTGCAAAGATGGAATGTCGCGAGTCGTCGCTGGACGTTGTCGTAAGTACCATTTTGTTTTTATTTCTGTCTCAACAAAACAGCTGGTCCGCCGTCACAAATCTGTACTCAACGAGTCAAGCTCCCACAGAGTGGTCGATGCCCCCTACAATTCATGGAGCAACAGACTTGCGCGGCGAAGACTGCGTGGGGTTGCTCGGGCTACCGTTCTTGAAGTGGTGGACAATGTCCCGAACCATTCAGGGTTAATGATGAGAATGTTGATTCCGTAACTTTTGGATGGGACCGAAGAAAAGTACATCCAACTAAGAGGGTGCAAATAGATGCAGAACTGCTGATCCTCCATTGTTAAACAGAAAGATTTTCGACCAAACAGAAGTGGGAATACGGACGCTATGAGTCTTTCATTTCAAAACTAGTTCGCTGATCAAACGATTGTACAGCATATGTTATGTGCGTGAAAGAGAGAAGGAGAGAGAGAGAGGCAGAAGTGCAGCAATCACATCGCATTGCTGCTCTTCATAACGACGGACGGTCTGAACTCGGACATGTTGTCAAAGACGCAGAAAGCAGGAGGACCAATCTCAAACGCGTCGTGCATCAAAGGGAGGAACCTGTCCACAGTCGCCTCCACCTTTCGCTTCTGATCCTCAGAAAGGTTCAGCACGACGTACGCGAGCGACAGATGGAACTCGTACGTCGCGTGCCCAGCCGCGCGCAGCGCCAGTAGATCCGCAAGCCGATCGCGCAGCCGCCGCAGACTACTGTCCGTCCTTTCGTCAGCAGCTGCGAGCCGCAGAGCGATGCCGTCCCGCTTGCGGCCCGCGACCGCCATCCGCACCGGCATCGTCACGTTCATGTCAAAGCCACTTAGTCTGCCCGCAAACTGCGCCGTCACCTCCGACAGCGGTAACCCCCACGCCGTGTCCGACGGCCAGAGCACGCCGTCGCCGTTGCCACCTGACGGAGGCCCGCGCTCTTGGTCCAGGACGCCAGAGAACAGCGTCATGTGCCAGCTGTCCGGCGGCAGAATAGCGATCGGCCGGCGACCAGGGATGTCGGCGTCCCGGGTGAAGGCGTCCGCGACTTCCGCCAGCGCGGCGTGCAGCGTCGTGAGGGGAGCGCGCACCGGGCTCTCGGCGGGTAGCGGGAAGATAATGGTGTTGCCCGGGAACCGTCGGAACCCGCCGTCAGAGGTGAATTTGCGGCCGACCTCTTTGGTCGGGGTGCCCGGCACCGTTGCGGGGCGGTGGGGATTGGCCACAGAGGCGTTACCGTGGCGCAGTGGGTGCCTGCCGCTGCCGCCGCTGCCGCCGCCGCCGCCGCCGCCGTCCAGCCGTGCGAGGAAGAGGGCGGCGAGCAGCATGGTCCCGACGACGCCGCCGGCCAGGGCCGCGAGCACGGTGCAGGTTGTCCACGCACGCGCCATCATCGGAACCAGAAAAGGATATGTTTTTTTGTCGATTCACGAAGAAATGGCCCTCTTCCTTCTCTCAAACAATGCGTGTGACCTTTCCCCTTTGCCTGCTGATGCTGGAGGTGACAGCGACTCCTCGTTGAGTTCCCAGCCTTCAGCGCTTTATGCAGGAGTCAAGGAAAACGAACAATCGCATCCACGGCTAACAAGAGCAAAGGTGTTTGAGTGCACTCACGAGCCCTCTGGGTGGCAAGGAGGGCGGCACAGATAGTGCATTTAGATGTGAGCGTGACGCACCGTCTCATCACAAACTGCACCTCATTTTTTCACTTCATGACTAGGGGTGCCCGTTGACTTATAAACAGTCCTTGCAAAAAAAAAAAGAAAGAGGGAAGAAAATTTATTAAGTAGCAAGGTCACATAGAGAACTTGAGAAGCTGCACAGAATTAATTAAAACCTAAGATGATCCACTAACTCCTTGTAAACCACATTTCTAATAGTTGGTCCACCTTTTTCTTGATTGTGTTTTGCAGTTATTATAAGATCTGCTGGGGATGTTACTCTTGAAAAAGCAACATAGGACTGTCCATGCGCAAACACATCCTCCCACATATCCAGTCCAACCTTTTTCAAGGTCTGGCCTTGGGACTTGTTGATGGACATTGCAAACGCAGGTCGAACAGGAAATTGCTTTCTGGTGAACTCAAAGGGAAATCCTGAATCACTGGGCTGCAGAGAGATCCTGGGAAGGAGGACTTTCTCTCCTTTCCTGCTGCCCACAACAACTTCACAGAGCAGCACATTGGGGCAGACCTCACATAGGATGAGGCGTGTCCCATTGCAGAGTCCATCTGTCAGGTTGCGGAGGAGGATGAGAGGCATTCCCACTTTGACAGTTAGCCTGTGGGGAGGCAGGCTGGAAGGGCTAAGGGTGTTGAGGAACTCAGGGCTGATAAGAAGGCTGTCGCCTTTGTCATCTCCAACTGGTGTGTCGGCAGAGAGCAGCTCCTGAGTGTCAGGAACATGGCAGGACAGGACAAGGCAGACAAGGGACTGAGAGGAGTGATGATTGTATTGGAAACAATAATTCACTTGAGGGATGGGACAGGTCCCCCATCCCCCTTTTATACCTTTTGAGAGTCTTCCTTGTCAAGACTCAAAGAAAGAGCAATTAGTAATACAATGATACCAATGATACCAATGACAACAAGACAAGTCAGGAAAGCAAAGAATGTTCCAGAAGGTTCCAGAAGGTTCCATGAAGGAATGTTCTAGAAGGTTCCAGAGGTTTCCAGAGGGTGATTCATAACATCATCTCCCCCTTTTAGGCCTCTTCTGCAACTTGGTGGGGTACCTGGTCTTGAACTCGAGCAGAAGGTCTTGGCAGTGAGTGAGGTTTGACTCAGGTTCCCAGGTGTTGTCAGCATCTGAGTAACCTTTCCACTTAACAAGGAACTTGAGTGTCCTTCCAAACCACTTGGCATCCAAGATTTGTTCAACCTCAAATTCCTCTTCACCTTCCACCTCAACTGGAGGAGGAGGAGGAACAACTCTGCCTGGAATGGAGTTGGCCACAAACTTCTCCAAAAGGCTGACATGGAAAACTGGGTGGATCTTCATGGATGCAGGGAGATCCAGCTTGAAGGTGACTGGATTGATTTGCTCCAAGATCTTGAAAGGTCCCAACTTGAGGTTGTCTGGCTTGGGACTTGGTCTTTTGGTCTGCAAGTTCTTCCTCATGCCCGGCCAGTAAAAGTCTCTGGAAACAAGCTCATATGTCTTGTGCTCTCCTGGGTGTCCAGCTGTTGCTGCATCATGCCTTGTCTTGAGTATCTCAAGTTTTTCCTCTTCTTGGCTGATTTGAATCTTGTGAGGCTTGGGGTCCTTGGAAATAGCATATGCCCACACACTGTCAGGAAGCAGTGAAAGGTGTGTCTTGGATGGTGGGGTGAAACCATCTCCCCCTTCAGGTGCAAGGTCTGTCCTTCTGTGCTCATCAGCAGTGGGGCTTGAATTGTTGACTGGGAACTGTGATTCTTGAATCTTTGACTGAGGGTTCTGTTCTTGGCAAAGACTGTGAGCTGTGGAGCTTGAATCTTGAATTTTGGACTGTGAACTGTGGTACTTGAATCTTTGACTGTGGGTTCTGTGAACTACAGACTTGGCCATGACTGTGAGCTCTATGAGCTGTCCTGGAATCTTGACTATGAACTGTGAACTGTGAAACTTGAATCTTGGCTGGGATCTGTGAGCTGCAGGCTGATACTGGAGCTGTCATTTGTCGTTGACCTTGGATACTAGGCTGAGAACCTTGAATCAGGGACTTGAGAGCATGAGACTTGGAGGCTTGACTTGAGTTTTGGGTGACTGTTCCAATTGGTGGAGGTTGGACTTGACCAGTGACCCAATCAATGGCAGGGTTCTGGGCTTGCAGCCATGGTAATCCCAGGATGACAGAGAATGTGGGTGAGCCAAGATCCAATACTTCCAGGTTGACCATGGATGGTGGAAAGTCTTGGATGTGGAGGTTTAGCTTGGTTTCATGGCTGATTTCCTTGAACAGAGCATGATTGGCAAAGTGGACCTTGAGGGGTGTGGATTTCTTGATGGTGGGAATGGCACAAGACTTGGCAAGGGTGGCATCAATGATGTTGCAGGATGATCCAGAGTTGATAAGGGCCTTGGTTGTGATGGTTGACTTGGGTGAGAGTTGAATCTTGACATCCATGGTGAGTTGGTGGGGCTTGGAATCTGAGATGTTTGTGGTGCTGGTGGTGGTGATGAAACAGGGGCAGCTTGGAGGAGGGTCCAGGGAATTGCCCCTCAGTGAGCCTGGACCTGGGAGTTTGGGTGCTTCTTCCTTGGGCAGTCCTTGACAGCATGCTCCTTGGAGCCACAGTAAAAACACAGTCCCTGCTGGGCCCTCCTTGTTTTCTCCTCTTGGCTCAGAGGACCCTTAGGAAGTGTCTCAACTGCATCCACTTGCATGGGTTCAGGAACTGTAAGAGCTTGAGGGACTGGGGTAGGTCTTGATGTAGTTCCTACTTGTCTTTGCTTCAGCCTCTTGGAGTAGAGTCTGTTGTCAATCTTGATGGCAAGGAGAATGTACTCTTCCAAGGTCTCAGGGATGTGCAGAGACTGGGAGAGCATGTCTTGGATAGACTCATGGAGACCATCATGGTACAGCTCCATCAGAGCTGCATCATTGTATCCAGAGTCTCTGGCTAGTTGCTTGAATTGGTTGGTGTAGGCCACACAAGATTGCTTTCCTTGCCTGATATGCTTGAGCTTGGATCTTGCTGTCCAAGATGCGTAGGGGTCACCAAAGGTAGCTTCCAGCCCCTCCCAGAGCTCTTGCAGGGTGGTGGGTGTGCTTGGGAGAGATCTGTACCATGATTGAGCTTGACCAGACAGGAGGGTGCTTGTGAAAAGAACCTTGACTTGCTCCCTGGGAAATCTTGAAGGTTGGAGAAGGATGACATTCTCCACAGTGG